GACGGAGACATAAAGTTAAGACTAAATATCTTTTTTGGTCCTCAGCATTTTACTATACCCGATATAGTTCCTAGCAAATAAAAAGGCCCATTGTGGTCCCTAAAAAATTCAAAATGGACCAATTTAGTTGAAATCGTGGTCCCTCACAATTTTAAAAAAAGCCCATATTAGTCCTCAAAAGGACTAAAATGGGTTCATTTTGTATTTCTTAGGAATCATTATGGGCCTTTTTATTTGTTAAGGACTAAAACGAGCATCGTAAAATTTGCTGAGGATCAAAAAGAGTATTTATAATAAAGTTAAAGTATGAACGAAGGAAAGGAATTCTTTATTTCGCGAATATTTTATGTCCAAACATTTGTTATATATTTGCGATGGTTCCTCAAGGAACATAAAAAAGTAAATTCAGTAGCTAAGTTATACTAGTGAAAGTATACGAATGAGAGCTGCCTAAATGCATACGTGGTGCACTAAATGACTACTAACAGCGTGAACTAACTTCAATTGTGATCTGGATAAAATATAGTAAGTCCAAACAAGGGCAAAAACCCAAAGATTAAGGCCCAAAAATAAAGGGCCTAAACAATGTGCTATATTTATATCGCGCACAAAGGATCAGGAGGCGCGATGGCTTTATCGCAACCAAACTGCCTTTAATATGACTTCAAAGTGAAGAAAGTGATCAAATAGATTAGAAGCCACTGCGCTACAGAACCAATACACAAAAGACAGCTTCAGCATGCCACTACTCTATCAAAATAGCTTGACATAATGAGATAAGGCCAGAGCGGCACCAGCTGAACCTGCAGCCCATCTACAGCCAATCAGAAGACACACCGTCTATCAAAGGTGGAATCGGATTCACTATATAAACAAAGGGTACATACCTAGGTATAATAATCTAATTTAGTAAGAATACCACATAAGTCTGACTTTGATACTGACTTGAGCGTCAGAGTGTCATTGCAGGTACCCCCCAATCAGGATCATCGCGCCAACGGAGAATCGTATTATCAAAACCTATCAACAGCCCAAAGAACAGATAACCCAACCCTAAGTCTTCTCACATCAACCGTGTGTGACTTGGCCCGGTACATATTGGTCAGTCCATATTGTATTGGTCTGATCATTGGCGCCGTCTGAGGGAACAATCTCTTAAAACCCATTCATTCACAAATCTAAAAGCATGGTTGATACTAGAAGCAAATCCCAGAATGGTTCAAAAGGGAAGCAGAAAGAAACACCAGCCTCCCGTGAAAAGTCAGCTTCATCAGTTGCACCAATTTCTGTGCATCACAAAAGTCCACCCACAACCCAACACGTTGAAACTCATTACTCAGCTGAACAAAAAAATTGCTCAGCAAAATCGAGATTTAGCTCGATTTAAAAAAGGGGAAAAGTATCTAATGTTACTTAGATAACTTTGTCTAATGTTCAACAAAACGACGTCATTTTGGGATTGAAAAATTAAAAAATTAGAATGATAAAGACTATTATAATCCTGAAATAAATTAAATTACAAAAACACTATGATTTTCATCCCAAAACGACGTCGTTTCAGTGAACATTAGATAAAGTTATCTAAAGTAACTTTAGAAAACACAAACCCTTAAAAAAATTACTAAAGACTAGAGAAAAAAACTCAGGAAAAAGCAAAAGAAAAAAAGAAAGTACCTGAGAAAGAAACTGAAAAAGAACTTGAAAATTCTGGTGAGAGTGAGTCAGGACATGAATATTCTAAAAAAGATCCTGGACCCTCTGGTCAGAGCAAGAAAGGCGAAGAAGAAAAAGAAACTCCTGAAAATTCCCAAGGAAATTCTAAGACAATGTCACGCATCTTACATCCCTTTACCCTATGTGTCATGAGTGTCCCCATTCCCAGGGATGTAAAAATTACAACTGAAAAGTATAACGGAAAGGGAGATCCGCAAGAACACCTAGAGAAATTCCAAACAAACATGATGGCACAAGATGTTGCTGATCCGGTAGCTTGCAGACTATTCCAACAACGCTGAAAGAAATCGCGTTTAGATGGTATTCCGCTTTACCAACCAATTCAGTTCAAAGTTAGGAGGATCTCACTAACCAGTTCCTCATACGGTTCACGACTAGCAAAGCGCAGTACAAATCCACCCATGCCTTGAAAATAGTACGGCAGGGAGCACATGAAACTTTGCGCGATTACCTCAATAGATGTTTTGATGAAGTGCTCCTGGTGAAAGATCTAGATTCACAAGTTTCATTACATCTAATCATTAAGGGATTGCTCGAAGGCCCTTTCTCTATGTCGTTGGCCAAACATCGCCCACGAACCATAGAAGAAATCAAAGCACGATCTGAAAAGTTCATTAACCTTGAAGATTATAAACGATCTCGGGATAATTCCGGCATAAAAGCATAAGTAGACAATTGTGAAAAAGACTTTCAAAAAAAAATTCAACGACGGTTCCGTGAAAAAAGAAAGTGGGACAAATTTGATAACTATACTCCTTTGAAATCATCTCGGAGGCGAATCCTTAAGGAAGTCTTCCAAACACTTTATGTTCGCTTTGCTAAGCCCCCACCATTGAAAAAGGGAGGACAACGCAACGAGACAAAATTTTGTGAATTTCATAATGATACCGGTCATACCACAAATAAAAGCTTTGATCTGAAGAACACCATTGAGATACTTATCTGAGCAGGCAAACTTCAAGAATTCATTTCTACCTGCAGAGAGTTTAAGGCTCAAAGAAGGCGCGATAGAAACTTGATCGTGATCAGAATCTCGACCAACAAAGGATATATCCCAGAAGGGATTATAATCAGGCCCGAAATAATAACGATAGGAACGCACGGTATGACCGCACAGGTAGACGAGAAGGGATGCCAACATATAACAGACAATATGAATAACAAGAAGCGCAACAGTAACCCTCACAACTGCCTAATAATGCTACAGGAGTATTAGCCAACATCGTCGGCGGAACTGCTGGAGGAGGGGGCACTAGCTCGCAACGAAAGCGACATCTAAAAGCAGTCAAATAGTTCATGATCATGGATAGCCGTCTACACCCTGTTCCAAGCACCAATCTATAAGTTTTGAGGATGATGACATCATCCCCGGCCACGATGATCCATTGGTAATTTCAGCTTGCATGGCCAATCTCTAGGTGAAACATATTATGATTGATAACGGCAGTTCTGCCGACATAATCTTCTGGGATGCTTTCCGCGCGATGAATATCCCAGATGAACATTTAAACCTAGGATGTATAGATTTGATTGGTTTTTCTGGTGAATGAGTACAACCTAAAGGTACCATTGAAATGTGGGTAACCATTGGGGTCATGCCTTTGGCTCATACTATTAAAGTACGCTTTTATGCCATTGAATATGCATCTGCATATAACGTCATTTTGGGACATCCAACTATTGCCGCTCTGGGGGCAATTATTTCTATGCCCCATCTCTTGATGAAATTCCGAGATACCTCTGGCACTATTGTTGTTATTAAAGGCGATCAGAAAGCGGCGCATAGCTATTACAACACCAGTTTACGAGTGAAATCAACAACTCATCGCATGGAGAAGGGCAAGGCGTCAATATCCAACTTTGTCCATTACCTAAAAACATTACCAAAATCGGTCGTCATCTACCGGACATTAAGAAAAAGGAATTGGTAGCGATATTTTCAAAAAACAAAGATCTTTTTGCTTGGACATCAACTAATATCCCAAGAGTGGATCCTGATGTAATATGCCACCATCTTACGCTTGATCCTAAAGCAAAACCAATCGCGCAAAAGAAGCGTAAGATTTCTCCTGAAAAATAGCAGGTAGTCGATACTGAGGTAACAAAGTTGCTCGATGCTGGGATTATTAGAGATATCACATATTCCACTTGGCTCACTAATGTCGTGTTGGTTAAAAAAAGCCAATAGAAAATGGCGCATGTGTATTGACTACACAGATCTCAATAAGCATTGTCCAAAGGATTTTTACCCTCTCCCTACCATTGACAAATTGATAGACAATTCTGTTGGATATCAGATTCTTTCTTTTTTGGATGCATACTTAGGGTATAACCAAATCCCCATGTTCAAACACGATGAAGAAGCCACTACTTTTATTACCGAAAAGGCTACCTATTGTTATAACATGATGCCCTTCGGTCTTAAAAACGCAGGCAACATATCAACGTATGATGAACAAGGTCTTCAGCCAGCAGATTGGTCAAATGCTGGAAGTGTATACATATGATATGATTGTCAAAACCACGACAATTCCACAACACCCTTAGGACTTAGAACAGGTGTTTCAACAGTTGCGCAGGTATAAATTGCGACCTAATCCAGCCAAATGTGCATTTGGAGTTCCCGCAGGAAAAATTTTGGGATTCATGTTGACACACCGAGGCATAGAGGCCAATCCTGACAAATGCAGAGCAGTCTTCGACACGGTTAGTCCTCAAAATATCAAAGAATTATAACAATTGACTGGACGGATAACAGCTCTAACTCGGTTCCTGTCAGCATAAGCACAAAAGTCATTACCCATGTTCAAATTATTGCGCAAGCAAACCAATTTTACTTGGACACCTGAATGTAAAGCAGGGTTTATTGCTATAAAAGAGCATTTGGCTAATCCTCCAGTCTTGGTAAGACCACAACCTGGTAAAACTTTGGTCCTATATCTTTCGGTAAGTAGCGAGGCCATCAGTGCGGTGCTATAACGAGAAGATGCCAATGGACAGTAACCAATTTATTTTGTCAGTAAAGCCCTTCAAGGTTCAGAATTGCGTTACCAGCAGATTGAAAAAGTGGCCTTTGTGCTTGTTATAACATCTCGCAGGTTGCGACATTATTTTCAAGGGCACACCATTAAAGTCAGAACTAATCATCCACTTAGACAAGTCTTACGTTAACTTGATTTGGCAAGACGAATGATCACTTGGTCAATCGAATTGTCAGAATATGACAATTCGATTGGACACAGGTATTAGCTGATTTTCTTGTAGATATGACTCATCCGGAAAGAACTCAGTCAGAGGATGATTGGACAATCTTTGTTGATGGATCTTCAAATCTTAAAGGAAGTGGAGCTAGAATTATTGTTGAAAGTCCTCAAGGCGTCACGGTGAAACATTCTATTCATTTTGGATTCAAAGCCTCTAATAATCAAGCGAAATATGAGGCAATTCTGGATGGATTAACAATGGCAAAAGACTTGGGGGCAACGAGAGTAATCTTGAAAAGTGATTCACAGTTGGTGGTAGTGCAAGTACAAGGAACTTACCAAGAAAATGAGGTCTTGATGGCAAAGTATTTAGACAAGGTACGTTTGTTGTTAGTTGATTTTGAAAGTTTTGAAATTGAACATATCCCAAGAGAGAAGAACGCCAGGGCTGATATTTTATCCAAGCTTGCTAGCACCAAAGTCTCTAGGAATAATAGATCCGTCATTCAACAAAGTGTTCCCAATCCAAGCATTGTGATGGCTGTCACCAAGCGCAAAGCTCGTCCCTTTCACGGTACAGAACACATGATAGATGATGATGAAATATAACCAGATGATAGGAAAAATTGGTTGACTCAAATTTTGATCTATCTGACTAAATGATCAACGCCATCTGATCCCCGTTCAGTTAGAAAGTTAGCACGCAAGGCTTCCTTTTATACCATTATCAATAGCCAGTTGTATAAGAGAGGATTTTCATCCGCAATGTTTAAATGTTTAGACCCACAACAAGTCCAGTACGTCATCACCGAGGTTCACGAAGGAGTTGGCTGTCACCACATGGGGGGCAAATCCTTATCCCAAAAGTTACTTCGCGTAGGATATTTTTGGCTCACTATGGAAGAAGACTCTAAAAGGCATGTGCAGCATTGCATCAAATGTCAAGAGCATGCAGGCTTGCACCACGCTCCACCGGAGGAATTATATTCACTCATATCCCCATGGCCGTTTTACCAACGAGGTATGGATTTATTAGAACCGTTTTCAATTGCGGTAGGAGGAGTGAAGTGGTTGATAGTAGCAATTGATTATTTTACCAAATGGATTGAGGCTGAGGCCTTGGCCACTATATCAGCTAGCAAGATTCGAAGATTCTTTGATCGCAAGATAATATGGATATTTGGTGTCCCTCATACCATTATTACTGACAATGAAACGCAGTTTGTGGACAAGAAGTTCAATCAAGTGCTTCAAGATTTACAAATCAAGCACAGGTACACCTTTGTTGAACATCCACAAACCAACGGCCTAGCTGAAGCCGCGAATAGAGTTTTAAAACGAGGGTTGGAAAGAAGGTTAGAGGCAGCAGAAGCAAACTGGCCAGAGCATTTGGATTATGTATTATGGGGTTACAGAACTACTCCTCATTCAACCACTGGAGAAACTCTATTTCGCATGGTATATGGAAGTGAAGAAATGATTCCAGTCGAGAAAGATGTATGCGACTGAGGAAAGCAATTCTCAGGCATTGTTACATAACTTGGACACAATCAATGAAATGCGCGAGATTGCTCATATCAAAGAAGTCGCTTTAAAATAGAGAATAGCAGCGCGCTATAATTTGAAGGTCATTAAACGAAGTTTCAATGTGGGAGAATTAGTCTTGCGCAAAGCAGATATTGGCAATAAAAACGCACGATAAGGTAAATTGGCCGCAAATTGGGAAGGGCCAGATCGCGTCCAAAGCAAGACCGAAAAAGGCCGATATGTCATTGAGACATTATCTGGACTCACAGTTCCACATACATGGAACATAGACAAACTCAAAATATTTTATAGCTAAGTTCTTTTTGATTCACTATATGTATTTTGTTCATCATTTCTTGCAAAAAAAGCTTGCAGGTTTATATACGTTCATACCATTTATCGCGCATAAAAAGCAACACATAAGGAAGGTAAAATCTTAACTGGTTAAAACTACAATGAAGCGCGATGAAGATTATAGAAGTTATACCTTAACTGGTTAAAAATTCCATGAAGAATAGGGAAGGTAAAACCTTAACTAGTTAAAACTTCCATGAAGATGAAGAAAGGTAAAACCTTAACTGGTTAAAATTTCCATGAAGATTAAGGAAGGTAAAACCTTAACTGGTTAAAACTTCCGTTAAGAATAGGGAAGGTAAATTCTTAACTGGTTAAAACTTTCGTTAAGAATAGGGAAGGTAAAACCTTAACTGGTTAAAACTTCCATGAAGATTAAGGAAGGTAAAATCTTAAATGGTTAAAACTTTCATGAAGCGCGATGAAGATTAAGCAAGGTAAAACCTTAACTGGTTAAAACTTTCGTGAAGAATAGGGAAGGTAAAATATTAATTGGTTAAAACTTCCATGAAGATGAAGGACAATAAAAACTTAACTAGTTCAAACTTCCATTAAGATGAAGGAAGGTAAAATCTTAACTGGTTAAAATTGCCCTAAAAATGCGAAGCGTAGGCATGGTTAAAACTTCCCTGAAAGCGCAATATAGATTTTGGAAGGAAAGAAAAGAAGCAAGAGGAAGGTAAGAAACCCTAAAAGGTTGATTCAAAAGACGATAATGGTGTGACGTTGACAAAACGTCACGACTATGATAAAAGGTACGATGAACGTATATTGTTTTAAAAATGGTACTCTTATAAGGACATCAAAACTATCTAAGTTTCATTAGATGCTATCCTATAAACCAAGGTTGATTAAAAAGCATCGTACATGCTGGCTTATTCTTATTCCACAATCTCAACAAAGAGTGAACTTATATATCAGATAGCGGCATAATATACTTTTAAGATGAGTACTTCCAGAAATAAAAGGATAGTTCTGGGGTAATAAACATACAAAACAAGTTATGTCAAATCTTCATGGGATAACCCATATACAGACAAATTCATAACATATAAAGTAAACACTTCAAACTGTTTGGATGGACATGTCTTGAGGACCTTCCTTTGCTACCTCGAGGTCTTCACATTGGTTTGATGGCACAATTTTTTGGGGAGGAGTTTTCGTGTCCATCGCGCTAACCAAATCCACTAACTCTTCCTCGTTATTATCATTCAATGTCATCAACATTTCATCTTTGACAAAATGTAGATAATGAATGTTATCCAACTTCGCAGACGGATTGAAGAGACGAGCCTGGTTCAGAACATTAATATATGTTCCCTCTGCTTCTCTTTCAAGGTAACCTTGGTACTTCTTCACTTCATCATTCAGGATCATTTTTTCTTCCTTTAAGGCATCCACGTTCGCTTCAAGATCTGTGATTTGTCTAGCTAGCTTCATTTTCTCTGTCTTTAAACTTTTATTCTTCTCCTTGAATTCCTTTGTTTCTTGCGCCATCTTGGCTAGATCATCTTTCGTTTTCTTCTTAGACTCTTCAAACTCGGCACATAAGATAGATTTTTCACCTTTCAAATCTATAATGCGTTCCTTTAAATAAGGTATCATCCCTGCCGCAAAAAGAATCAAGGTCATATATTGATGGCAAATTTTTATACACAGTACCAATATGTTTTCCATAGTGACACACTTGCTTACATGTTACGGACATTAGATGTTGATTGGCGAAATTCAGTTTCCCAACAGCTCCTAGCCACTTATCCATTGGCACTTCTTCAATCTGCGGGCCTACTTCCTTGCCTTTAGAAAACTGGTCCACATCGACACCCCAACCACTCTTGAAATAGGTTGATTCTTGAAAAACTAAGTTGGTTTCTGGGGACTTTCTCTTTTGTCCTCGGGGTGATTGCGCCACTTCTTTATTTTTGGGCGATGGAACCTTGGTCGTCATCATTGGCCCTAGCGATTTTAGGCGTGCGACATCTTGGCTTGTCTCTGCACCAGCAAGAAAGACTGTAGAAGGATGTCACATGGTTCCAGAGGGACTAGCATCCTCAGCAACTCTCCTTGCTGCTACCGCTTCCAACTTCTTCAGTTTAGCAGACATTGAACTATCTGAAACATAAAGATAAGGTCGCACATTAGAAATATGGTATATGTATATAAAAACACAAATAAAAACGTCTACCATAGCAAAAATTGAAATGATGGAAAAATGCTTACCCAAGAAAACTCTAATATCTTCATCGGTATATTCATTTAAAATGGTATAAGTACTCAAATAACCTGAGTCTGATACTTATCGCGCAATGTTACATAAAGTGGTAACTATGTGCTGCTCATAATCATTCAAATCTTCAAAACATATGTTCAATTTATGCTCTTCTGAAGGATGACATGTCCAGTATAGAGGGAAGATAGGAGTATTGTCTTCTTCTCCTAAGAAAAACACATTGGAACCTTTCGCGGGGTAAATGTTGAAGTATTCTGTGGACCATCTATGAATCTTCCTTAGATAGAAGTCAAATAATTTGTGCTTGGAATATTCCCTAAAAGAAACCCAGCTGGAACGCGACCCAAATACACTAAACAGACACAAGAAGGACTTCGAAGATTGATATAGGTTATAAGCTTTACAAACCATCTCGTATACCCTAATAAAACCCCATGCGTTCGGGGATAATTGTGCAGGAGCCACATTGATATGAGCCAGCAATTTACAAACAAATGATGAAAAATGAAGACGCACTGCTATCGTTAAAAATAAATAAGCATACATCATTTGGAAGTGTCAGGAAGAATTATCAGTGCGCGATGAGCACACTCATTCATTCAGGGGAACTATAGATAACTCTTAGTTATCATCTTGTGATTTGTTTGGGGTAAGATGGATTGCGGTCTTCAATTCTTTCAATTTCCCCAGTGAGCTATATACGGAGACAGTGTCTAAAACAATGTCGAAAACCCAATCCAAAGTTTCGGCATCTCGAATATTACAAGCACTTGATCCAGTGGCCTCATGATCATGTTTTTGTTTCTTCTACTTCTCAGCTGCACTGCGCCTAGCAATGATCTCCTTAATTTTGGGTGAGTTGAAATCCGATTCAGAAGAGGAGGTATTAGTAGAGCTATAAGAGGTAGAAGAAGAACTAGCAAATGAAGATTTAAAGTTGTCAAAATTTCGTTTCTTATACGGATACCCAGCAGGGAGAATGACATTTAATGAAAGTGGACTAGGACTTTTTGCTTGATCTGGATTATCACACGCAATAGGAGGAGAAGTGTTGCACGATACAGTTGGAGAACTAACATTCGTAGGAGACTCAGAACCTAAGGCATCACTAGGGTCATGGCAAACTTTAGAATCCGAATTAGATTCGCTTGATATATAAACAAGATTAACCATCCCGTTTAGAGTTTTTGGAAGAGGCGATGAACTTTGTTGCGACAAAGTTTTGGATATCCCGCGATTAGGATTTTGGGACGAGGATCCAATTTCGAAACATCGAATAGAAGAAGAACAATTATTATTCAATTTAACTTTCTCCCAGGGGGCAGAACACTTGCCAATTAGCCACAATTCCCCAGTCCCTAACGACTTTGGTAGAGGACTGGTGGAGCCAGACCTTTCGGCTGTTCTGATAAAATTCACAAATTTGCGATTATCAGACATACCCTAGCTCAATGAAAGGAAAAAGCAACTACAAAACTGTAACAGCCCATTGTACACT